GCCTGTCCCCTTCAGCGTTGGAGAGCGCACGGGGGCAAAGCCCCCCCGCCAGTCCTCTGCCAGAGGGGCGAGAGAGGGCCGGGCAGCCTACCCCCCGGGGGGTTACTAGGGCCCAGGGGCCCAACTCCGGGAGCATTCGGTAACAGTCCTAGCTGGTAGAACAAAGTTTTTCCTTTAGGGTATGTAGAAAAGTTATACGATTGGTTCTTGAAGGAGAATAATAATCGAAAAGGAAATGCCCATCTGTATTTAATCCCCTTGGCAATTAACACCTGGAGCAAAGGCCTCAGATTGCGCCTTTTCTGAATTGTGGTTGGGGAGATGTCTGGAAAAATCTGGACAGGGTGTCCCAGTATAGAGAGTCCCGACTGTTCCCTAGCTCGCTGCATGACTTGCTCCTTGATGTTGAAAAAATTGGGCTTTACCAGCACATCCCTAGGGTGACCATCTGATCTAATGACAATAAGGGCCCTGTGTAATCAATCCATCTCGAGTTTCTGCTCCTCGACTTCAGGCAGAAGATCCTTTATAAATGATACCACTGCCCCTTTAAGGTCTGTAACTGATTCAGGAAGCCCCCTTATACGAAAATTCTGACGCCGTGATATATTTTCCATATCATCAATTTTGGATAGAGCTTCATCTAGGTCTTGTTGAATATCTAGGATACGCTTTGTATTTTGATTGGCACGGTCCACTGTTTTATCCAGTTTTAGTTCTATAGCCTCTATACGAGTGCCCAGATCCCTGATATCTGAACAAATGTCCGAAGTGATTTGTTTGGCCACTCTGTTTAAGCCCTGCTCCAACATTTCCGAGAATTTGGCTATTAATTCCATGTGTCCATGAGTCCCAGCCATATCTATGTTAATCTCAGCTATCTCAGGGCTAGAAGCGTTAGAGACCTGCTGTGCCATTAGCATATCCTCCAGCGTCCTCTCTATCAAAGAGGAGGTGGATGCCGGCGAGTGGGCCCTGCGGGACCCCGTACTCACTGTATCCTGGAGGTGCCGCCCCCTGTCCTCGATCCCGTCGCGGGCTTAGCGTCCTTGCGCTTTGTCGACCTGCCCGCCATCCAGCTCACTCTCTCCTCTGCTATCACCGCCCTGCTCCTCCGATCGGCCCTGCTCCTTCGTGCTGCTAGGAGGGGTTGAGTGCTATCGCCGCCTGTGGATCGGCCCTGCTCCTTCGTGCTGCTAGGAGGGGTGCGTCTGGTCCGTCTGGGCGCCGAGCTCAGGACTCAGTCGTCCTGCCTCGAGCTCCGCACATGCGCCATCTTGATTGTACTTTTTGATGCTGAACTTTATGGCTCAGTGTAAGTTATCACTTTCGTCCTTAAACGAGAGGGGTTTTAATACCCTCCGTAAGAGAGATCAAATTCTATGCCATTTTCATAAACACAAAAATGACAACCTCTTACTTCAAAAAACAACGAAAAAAATCGAGCGCTACTACCTGGGGAACTGCTATTGGTGATGTAATTACTGTAATACTCCTTTTTTGTTGTTTTTTTGTTCATTTCAGGTACAGGGCTCCTCTCCCTGTTAAAGGAGACCGCACACCGTTCTTCGTTCTAGTTAACTATCATTCTTCACCAGTAGTGCGCTTATCCATTTCTTAGTCTTTTTTTAACCTCTTGCTTCAAGTTACTCATTTTAAGGAGTGTACTGCAGGAATTTGGCCCTGATGGTGGAAAGAATACCTTCTCCCCTCAACCACACATTGTGGCTTCTCCTGCCAGATCATATGCACTGTGCTGATGTATCAGCCAGCAGTAGATATTTCACATACCAGGATTTTTTATTTTTGCATAAAATGAATGTGTATGCAGTATATATACTGTATATATACACATACATACAGCAGATGGCATGGGCACCTAAAATACCTCGCACCAAGGTAGACACTGAGACCCGGTAAAGGAATATGTCACCCCAAGTTAGACAAGTACCTGTAATGTTACATACGTATATAGGGTTAACTTCTTAGCAGTGTGTAAAAGAAGAAAGCAACTCAGACACAAAGCCGTCAGATATATGTTTGTTTTATTGGTTATATAAATTATAAAATTATCTGTGTTAAAATCAATGTCCTGTCCAAACAAAAGAGGTTAGGTTGGCCTATTGCATCACTTAAATTTGATGACCTCAGGCACACACTGTATACTCGCTGTATGCGGTCAGAGTCATTAATATTAATAAATTGCTTGAATGCTCAACGTTGCTTTACTATTCTGGCGTGGAGATTGCCTGGGGGAGAGACTCGTGCGAGCCGCTGATCCCTGTACTCTGCTCAGAGTCTCAGCCGACAAATAGCGTTGCATCGGGCTCATAGTTGGAGCTTTCGGCGCCCCCTGTTTCCCAGTCTTCTTCCGGTTCATCCTTGCGGTCTGGGCTCCACAAGCGGCTACCGCCGGATCCGCTAAGTAGGTGCCGTCTCCCGATCGCCTAGAAGCCGGTGAGTGTGGGCAATGTGCGGGCTGATGGCATGTAGCTGTCCGCTATGTAGGTGCCGTCCCCAGGCTGTTTTGGGAGCCAATATGTGTGGGCAGTGTGCGGGCGGGTGGCGCGTAGCTGTTCGCGTTAGACGCACTCAGCCACCATCAGCTTCCGGACACGCCCCCCCTCCGTCATTCGGTCAGCTGTTCATCCCCGCTAGAGGAATGATTTGTGCTGTTGACTAGATATCCGCATTCGGGCAATGTTGCAAATCAACTAAAATCAGTTGATTCGGCGGTCCGTCCGAATCCAAAATAACGAATTTAATATATTCCCCAATATACTAAAACGACATTCGGGCATTTGTTTTGAGAACAAGTCAACGGCCATATTGGCCGCCAGCATGTTTTGCGCATGCCCGTCGCCATCTTGGAGGCGGAGCATGTGACGTCACATGACGGTAACGTTACATGCTGAACAAGCGCACCACCATTTTGAAGTAGATCTAGGTGCATACCAAAATGGTGGCGCTCAAACATGAGGGCACCACCATCTTGGTGTATACCAAGATCTACTCCAAAATGGTGGCGCGCATGTGCAGAACACATCAGGGGGCCCCTATGGCCGCCACTGCGGTTTCAGGGTGCGGTTTCAGTTTCACTGTGCTCGCTGGCTCTGAATCCAAACCAACATAACAAAACAACAACCAGGTAGACAAATACGCCCAATCTGTACCCTGTACAGCTATTTCCAGCAATGTGCATGAGGTCTTTAAGTTCTTTGTACATACAGCAACATTGAGTCCTCTGTCTGTGAGATCATAATTGCATTTGTAAAAATATACAAAAAATAAACTCAAATATAATGTTTTCACATGAATAGATAAACATAGGTCTTCTAAGAATACAAAGTTCCTTACTTTTATTGATTGTAGGGATTTTCCACAATATGTTTTTAGCTCAGTACATTTCATATTTGTGGCTTCATTCAGTTCTGCCAAATCTCTTTGGCATAAAGTAAAAGTATATGTAAAGCCCATATGGTCTTGCATAGAGTAAGGAATGAATAAATGAATGTTTTTACAGCTTTGTGTCCAGTATTATGTTCTCCACAAACTTTTCTTCATCTGAAGAGTTTTCTTTAATCCAATGGACCACATCTAAAATGGTTGTGTTGGGATCCAGTAGTTTGACAACAGGAACATTTACTCCTTTCTCTTCAAAGACACGGTGCTGTAATGTCATTGCCAACATAGAGTCAATTCCTAAAGAACTCAGAAGGCTACCCATTGTGATGTCACTTAAAGTGACAATTGTGAGTTCACTTACTTACCAGGTAGACAAATACGCCCAATCTGTACCCTGTACAGCTATTTTCAGCTATGTGCATGAGGTCTTTAAGTTCTTTGTACATACAGCAACATTGAGTCCTCTGTCTGTGAGATTATAATTGCATTTGTAAAAATATACAAAAAATAAACTCAAATATAATGATTTCACATGAATAGATAAACATAGGTCTTCTAAGAATACAAAGTTCCTTACTTTTATTGATTGTAGGGATTTTCCACAATATGTTTTTAGCTCAGTACATTTCATATTTGTGGCTTCATTCAGTTCTGCCAAATCTCTTTGGCATAAAGTAAAAGTATATGTAAAGCCCATATGGTCTTGCATAGAGTAAGGAATGAATAAATGAATGTTTTTACAGCTTTGTGTCCAGTATTATGTTCTCCACAAACTTTTCTTCATCTGAAGAGTTTTCTTTAATCCAATGGACCACATCTAAAATGGTTGTGTTGGGATCCAGTAGTTTGACAACAGAAACATTTACTCCTTTCTCTTCAAAGACACGTTGCTGTAATGTCATTGCCAACATAGAGTCAATTCCTAAAGAACTCAGAAGGCTACCCATTGTGATGTCACTTAAAGTGACAATTGTGAGTTCACTTACTAGTGACAAAATGTAATCCCCTGATTTCTGTGTATTAACTCTGGATCGCTTTATTTGGTTTTTGCCATCCAAGTTGTTCTTATATTCATTCACCAAACTGAACAATCTCCTCGTCATACCTGGTATGCGTGAAGCCAGGCCGTCATAGATCAATTTAAAATCAAACTTGACTATTGCCTGCTGAGTATTGTTTAGTAAGAGACATTTCTTCAGGTATTCATGAATTTCTGGTACATTTAACAGAAGTAGTCCTCTTGCTTGCAAAATCTTACGAACCTGTGGTTGATCCAATAACACCCCAGTATTCAGAGCTCCCCAATTAATTGATTGGGCAGGAAGACCAAGATTTCTTCTGTATTGGCAGAAAATGTCCAGAAAGGAGTTGGCAGCAGCATAATTAGCTTGTCCGTAGTTTCCAATAAATGAAGCAACAGATGAAAAACATACAAAATAATCCAGTTTTTGGTTTAATATGGCACAGTGGAGATTGACAGCACCATCAACTTTTGGGCTCAGGACCTTCTCAAAGAGTGACAAATTTAACTTCTCCAACATGCCATCATGCAGAACAACAGCACTGTGAAAGACACCTTTGATTGGAATATTTGGGAAGATCTTTTGTATTGAATCAATAGCTTTCTTCACCTCAGCATAATGGCCTATATCACATGGTAGTGTTTTTATCTTAGTGTTCTCTTTTTCACTCATTGCTTTGGCTATTTGTTGTTTCATTTCAGTATTTGGGTTTCTTCTTGAGAGAATCACAATGTGGCCACCTCCATTGTTTAGAATAAATTTGACTGTTTCAAATCCCAAGCCAGTCAGTCCACCTGCCACAATGTAAACAGCATTGTGCCTAAAAAGAACGGCATCAGAGACAGACATTGGTATCTTTGCAATTGTGTTTTTGTCTAACTCAATGAGCGGTAAGGATTGTGCTAGAAAGTAGCTGGACACCATATTGTTCAGATTGGATTTGCTGTTAGAAGGCTGAATTATGGATTTTGGAAGGATGAGAGAAATGTCTGACGACAGTGATCGAAGCCATTTGTAGATAGCCTTAGCATACTTTTGTAGGTATGCTCTTTGGAAAACAGTTGCAAGGTCTAGTATGTGTATGTGAATGTTATGTCTGCAGTTGATTGCTAAACTGTGGAATTGTGTAGATTTTTTCTGGTCACATATGATTACAACATCCTTAAGTTGGGGAAGCTGGGCAAGGTCTTCTCCTGACATTACTTCTGATGTAGGAAGTATAATCATGGCACTGCACTGTTTGCCATTAGCTGTACTTCCTGGAGATATTGTGGTTTCCCATCCTCTCTGTTTTGCTGCCTTTGATAAAATTGTACTCAAAACTGACTTTTCTTCTGTTGTTACAATTGTCAGTTTAGATTTGTTTTTTGCACCTGGTAGTCGGTTATGTAAAATTTCCCAGGCTAAGACAAATAGCGAAACAAAAGGTGATTCTCTTAGCACTGGAAACGTCTTAATTAAACAGCAAACACTCTCTGGCAGCCTCACTGTGGAATTTGCAACTGTTGGATAACATGAAGCAACTCTATCCCCAACTTGAATTTTGCGGACATCTTTTCCAACGGCTGTTACAGTTCCTGCAAAATCCAGAGCAACTAACTTATGTTTATCAGAAGCCACACCATTCCAGTACAATGTGTTTCCATATTGCCAGCTGGAAAGACTGACTGGAAAATAGTCTTCAGTGTGGGCACCTATTTTGTTTATTATAATCTCTACATCTTTGCTTGAGAGCTCATTGAGTTCAGAACTATTTGGTTCAGCAGAAAGATCAGTCATAGCATGAATATCTGAAGTGCACAAGGTAAAATTGTCTGACTGTTCTAAGGGTGCTGATAGTTGTGCACTCTTCTCACTGTCTGTGTATACAATTTCACCTGTGTAAATACAGCCTTCTTTTATCCTTACCTCTGGATGATCATTTGGTTTGTAATGAAAGACAACTCGAGCGAGTGCTGCCACATCTTGAGGACTTGAAGAGCCGATATCGATCAGCTGAAAGGTAATATTAGGCAATTCAAGAGTGCAAGCTCTTGTCATCCCAGCAAAAACAAAGCCAGGATTAATGTGATCTACGGTGCTTTCTGTTGTTCTGAATGTGACTGTCTTGATACATGCTTCAGAGCCTTTCTGTCTTACTGCCAAAATCAATTGTCGGTAGACCTCACAGCATTTTGATAGATATTGTGTGGGATTATTTGGAATTGTATCGCTGAGTCTATGGATCCCCCACATAAATACAACATCTTTAGACTCATTGCTGAGTAGTTTGTGTAACTGGATGTCTGAATCCCAGCTGCTAAAGTTAATGTAGCTCACTTCCTCATGTAGGTAGGCTGATAATTGCTGACTTACTCCTGAGTTATCTGCATATATCAGAATGCTTGGCTTCCTATTTGATGCATTCTTCAGGCTTGGTGTCTCTGTCCACTTAATATGAAAAAAGTGGTTAGCTTGTGTTTGCACAGCTTGTTTCATGATTGCCATCCTGGCATTTTCTATCTCTGCTAACACTAAACCATTGTTATCAGCAAAACATCCACTGACTTCAATGTAACTTTTTGTGATTATTAGTACTTTTATGTAGATCACCATTTCTTCTTGAAGAGGTTGGAGAATCCTCAAGCTTCCTATAGAAGATGGAAAAATTGCTGCAGGTTCTTTTTTTCTAGAACCAACCACACAACCAACCATTTGAAGGAAACAGTCTAAAATCACTGGATGCATGTGGTATTCATACATTGTTTCTTTGATTTCTTCAGTTTTAATCTTAGCAATCCCTTCATTCAGCTCTTCCCCATAGTGAACATCACACAGCTGTTTGTAGACTTTCCCATACTCAAATCCAAAGGTGGATAGTAATGCATAGACATCATCCGTTTTTAAAACATTTTGACATCTCTTGACAACATGCGGAATGTAAATTCTTTTGTCACTGTCTGTTCCACTGTTGTTATGTGTCACATGCCCAGTTGCATAAACATGTGATGTCAGAATTTCAAAATTAATGACTTGGTCTTGTTGGTGTATCTTGACATTTAGCTCCTGAGATTCTCTTTGAAGAATACAGGGATTCAAAAATGTTGTGCTGATTTTCAAGGAGTGTAAGGGCACCCTGGGCTTCAAGCTTGTAACTGTAGCTGCTAATGCAAGTTCTACATAGAATGCACCAGGAACAAGGGCAGACCCCAAATTCTTGTGTTCATAAACATATGATGTCAGTGATTTTGAAAGAGTACATTTAAACTCAGTGAAATCTGCACTTACATTGTGCATCAGTGGATGAATGAGAGAGGCTGCAGATTGGTTTCCTTGCCTAATTTTTTCAAAACAGATATCTTGCTTGTTGTGCTCAAACTGATATCTTGGAATGTAAGATGGAGGAGATTTGTATTCACAAAAAAGATTGTTCCAATTTGGACTGAAACCCTTTTTGAAAAGATTAATCAACAGAGAAAAAATAGTTTCATACTCATTTTTTGGATGCACAGAAGGCATAACAGTTGTATTTGGTCCAAGGATATCAACAATGTTTTTTTGTAGTGCTCTGCGAGGCCCAACTTCTATAAACACAATGTTTTCTTTGTTATTTGTAGAAGCTTTTATAGCTTGTTCAAACAGAACTGGCTCACGAATATTTTTGGCCCAGTAGTCTCCAGATGTAAAATCTCCGTTTGTTGCCGGCTTACCACTTACTGTTGAAATGAGCTCACACTTCAAATTATTAGCAGGTAAGTTCTGCAAAATGTCTTTTATGTCTTCTAGTATTGGGTCCATCAAATGGCTGTGGTATGCAGCAGGGACATCTAAAACATGGAGAAAAATATTCCTTTTCTTGTAGTGTTGGGACAAGTGATCACTGATCTGCTGTATAGCTTCTCCTTCTCCAGAAAGTGTACATGAGGAGGGACTGTTGTAAGCAGCAATGCATGCTTTGCCATTGTATGACAAGATTACATCTGATATTTCTGTTACTGGTACATTTCCAACCACAAGCATTTTTCCTCCAGTGACTGAACATTGCAGTTTGCTTCTGTGATAAATAACTTTAACAGCATCTTCAAGTGAAAGAAGACCAGAACAATATGCTGCAGCAACTTCACCCACCGAATGTCCCACAACACAGTCTGGATTCACCCCCCAATGTTTAAGAAGATCTACTAGTGACACCTGGATGGTAAAAAGCAACAACTGTGCAACATCTGGGCTGGAAAAGTCATCATATTCATTCTCTAGCAATTGTACCACGGAAAGGGAAGTGTAAATTCGAATGATCTTGTCTACCTCTAAACATTTTGCTCTGAACACTTTTTCATTTTCTAGCAAAACCTTGCACATTCCTTTGGAAAGGACTCCATTCCCACAGAACACAAACACAATCTGAGGGCTTTTCATGACTGGAGGTGTCTCTGTATTTACAGACTGAAGCTGTTTCTGAAGATTAGGTAAGGAAGATGCCAGAAATGCTGCTCTGTATTTGAAATTAAGATGACTTCTTCTGCAGGCAGCAGTATAGACTAGGTTCTCCAGACATATTGATGATGGCATTTTGCTCAGCTCTTTTTTTGTGTCTTCAATGCTTAGCTGAAGTGATTTGCTGGAGGCTGCTGAGAGAATTAATATTTCAGAAGGTCTTTTGGAGTCATATTTGGAGTTATGCTCTTTGTATTGTTTGACAACTACATGAGAATTAGTTCCTCCAAATCCAAAGCAGTTAATGCCAGCCATCCTTCCAAATTTTACATCTTCATGCCATTTTTCAGGAGCTGTTGGAACAACTAGTTTGGATTCTTCAATTTGTTTAATTCCAAGTTCTTTAGAATAATGTAAAGAAGGGGGAATCACTTCATGGTGCATCATTAGCAGAACTTTTATCAATCCAGCCATCCCAGCAGCTGATTCTGTGTGTCCAATATTTCCTTTAACTGATCCAATCTTTAAGGATTTCATTTTACTTGGATGTTTTTTCCCAATGGTATTTCCTATACTGGTGACTTCTATTGGGTCCCCAACAGGCGTTCCAGTGCCATGGGCTTCAAGATATTGTATTGAACATGGATCTATAGCTGTGTAGATACGACTTAAGAGTCTTTCCTGCTGCTCTAGAGATGGTTTGGTAATTGGTGTTACTGATCGCCCATCTTGGTTAATTGAACTTGCACATATGACTCCCCAGATTTTGCTGTAATCTTCTTTAGCCTGTAAAACAAAAGCAAAATGTGTTCTTAATTAATAAATTAAAAGAACATGTGGAAATAATGTAATGAAGGAAAGTGTATGCCTGTTTAAAGGCAAATTATATGTATAACGTCTTAAGATGTATGCTGAAGTAATGCAAAGATTTCATATATTTCATGTGCACCCCAGATTTTTTCAGGACATACATGCAATTCCCCATTTCTGTGGTGTTTTTTTATGTTTTAACTGTTGTTGGACTATTGATCATCCCCAAGTCTTGCGGAGTACATTTTTAGTTCCTGGATAATTTCTAAAACCTATTAGGCGAAACAAGAGAACACTAAGTTGGTTATTCACACAGCTGCCGAAGGCAGCTGAGTGAATAACCCAGCCGAAGTAAAGTGAGCTGAACTACTTCTGGCTTGTACGGCTGATTTGAGCGGTACATTTTCCGCTAAAATCAGCCATACATTGGCTGCCATCGGGTGCGATTTGGTCAGCCAATGAATGACGACTGAACCGAAGGGCTCCAGCGGCCGAAGAGAGTTGAAGGATCAGCCAAAGCTACGGCTGGATCCATCGGCTCCTTCGTGAATAAACCCCTAAAACGTTTTTTTCTATTTTCCCCATTGTCTGTCTCTACCTGTAGTCTGCAAAAGTATTCTTTTACAAAGACATATACTAATTTATAGCTTGCCTACTTTATCTTAGGAGGTTTTTCACTATAGAGCCGAAGGTTTTAGCCAAATGTTCGGCTAATCGTTTGGCTCACTTCAGCTGCAGAAACCCTTGTTTCTTGTGAATAGCACATACAGCAGCCAAAGGCAGCCAAGATAAATGGCTGAACGCAGACGATTTGAACGAACAGGGTATGGTTCGGGAAGGCCCAACAATCAGCAGGAGAGGGGAGAATGGTCCGCCAAAGTGGACCGAATCCCTACAATGTGGAAACAAATGGGCAGAGAGCCTCTGTTTGACCTGCCCGTCACTGCTGCCAAAACTCCACTGCAGGCTGCTGCATACACACATAGGAGGGCTACTTTCCCCATCATCTGCTGAAGACACAAATAGGGGAAAAGCATGATCACAGTGAAGCCTGGCTGCTATCTCACCTTCACTGATGACACAGTCACAAGTCTAGTCCCATGCTTGCAGAGCTCAGCACTGCATTTTTCAACTCAAGTTCAGTGCTGCAAACTACCAGGAGCTGCTGCTGGCTGGGGTCGTCTAGAGCCTTGGTTCTCAACTAGTGGGTCGTGACCCAAAAGTGGGTCGCGACCCCATGTTCAGTGGGTTGCCGTGTGCTTTCCACTTTTCTAGGTGAAAAGCTCATCAGCCTCCTCCTAGCGCAGCATTGTCAGTTCCCACGCCGAACAGCCATTCAAAATATGCTGGCCGTTCCCGAGTGTCAGCTTGAGGTGGGATGTGCTGTGGCCGTGAGGGAGCTGCATCTATATGTACAGCTCCCACACATGTCCTGTAGAGGTGCCTGGACCAAAGTGATGTCACATTCTGGCTACCTACAGGGTATGCAAAGGGAGCTGTGCAAGCAATGCACATATGGATGGAGCTCTGTCACTGGACCCCAGGGTGAGGACCACTCCAGTTCTCGTAAGGTAAGGAGACTGGGGGATCTTTTGAATGGCACCCCAAAAGCACCTCCCACCCACAGGTTATCGCTCGCACAGGAAGGTGCAATACCGCAATGCTGTGCTTTCCAGTGCAGTGCAACTTAGGTTGCGACTTAATGACAAGGGACAAATGTGGGTCCTGAGGTTACACAGGTTGAGAACCACTGGTCTAGGGCATAGCTCAGTGTGTTCAGTGCAGTGAGATATATCAAACACTGCATCACTTTAGATGTGTTCATTCCCTGCACATCCCTGGCAGCCTCTGGGTGGAGCAGGCTTCCGATCAGAACACAGGTCTTGGTGTTGCGCTCTGGGTGATTAGGGTGTTCCCATCCCAGGCACTCCCGGCACACCCTGTGCGTACACCTATGTGCCAAACGTTTGTCTCAGCTGATCCAGAAGTTGCATTAGCGGAGACGCAGTGGGCTCTTGCCTTCGGTTTGGCCGAACATGCTGAGGGTGTTTAGCTGAGCCCAAGGGAGGTGAAGTGAGCAAAGGCAGCCGATGCATGGCTTAAAATAGCCATACATGGCTGCAGTGAATGGTTGAAGAGGCTTCGGATCCCTTCACTTTGGCTCGTTCATTCATTAGGCTGCTTTTGGCAGCTTTATGAAGCACCCCCTTAATGTTCTCTAAAAGATATATGGCAGTGCTGCTAATTTGTATAACGTATACTACAAGCATTATTGTTCATTTCTCTTGATAGGCAGAGCCAGATGTCAGTCACGCAGCTGGGCGAATCCAGGCACAATTGTCGGGATCCGCTTCAGCTGCGGCGTCTCAGTATACCGCGAGCAGTAGCTTGCGGTATACTGCGGCGCCTCAGTATACCGCAAGCTACAGCTCGCGGTATACTAAGCCTAGGGTGACGGGAGGACGCTAGTTTGTGTCCTCCCATTAACCTAGGGAGAACTATGGGGAAAAAGCCTTAACCCCATAGTTCTCCTTTAAAGCACAATTGTTTCCATTGTTTCCAAATGGCGCTGAGAAATCCCACAATATAATTAGCTATGATGGTTCAAAGAACATATACTTGAACCGCTGAACAGGATATGCTGATGAAAATACACTTTACCTGTTTTAAAGGTTTAAGAACCACAATTCCACATCCTTCTCCTCTTCCATAACCATCTGCCTTTTTGGAAAACGGTTTACTTGTTCCCTCAGGAGAAATCATTTTTGCCTTACTGAGAGCAACATAGATACGAGGATCTAAGATACAGCTGACACCACCACATATTGCCAACTCGCAATCTCCTATGAAAGGAAAAAAACATTTTCAGGGGTTGTACTGATATAAAAGACAAGTCTGGTTCTAAGGATATGTAAATCACAAGTGTTTCAATCGGAATCAATCTTAAACGGCTAATTAACCCCTTCAGCATTTTGGAAATTATGTCCAGGTCTTGAAGTAGCTGAAACAAGTTCTAGACATGTGCACTGCGAAAAAATTTGTTTAGTTTAGTTTCGTTTTAAATTCGGATTTGTGTTATTTCGTTTTTCGGGATTCGGGTGTTAAAGTTAATTCGGATTCGGAATTCGGATTCGGACGAAATTCGGTAGCGGTAGGTCGAACGTTCGTTTCTTATTCGTTTCTTATTCGTTTCGTTCGTTCGGGACATTTGAATCGGCTCCCCGGCCAAACAGTATGGAGTCGGCTTCCCGGCCAAACAGTATGGAGCCGGCTTCCCGGGCAATCAAGAAGCTGGGTGGCAGGTAATGACACGCTGCCTGGCTTCCTGATTGCACCGGAAGCTGGCTCCATGCTACCGGAATTACCAGTATCCGTACTTGTTATCAGTGAGTACCGAAATATAATTATCAGTACTCGTACTCGATACCGTATCGGTGCATCCCTAATTTTAAGCAAATAAAAAGCACTTAGAAATGTAAGCAGCATTTTTCAAAATTAATTATGCAATGTCAATGGGAATATATACTGTAACAAATATAAAGTATCTGTCATCCCAAATTGGCAGCAAAAGTGAAAATACACTTTAAAGCCAGAAGCTTGCTGATCTCTCTCTGTTCTGTCAGGGAAGATCCACTGTGCTGGTCACCGGGCCCCCACAGGGGACAGCGGAGCCCAGGGAAGCCAGCGGGGGCGAAGGGGCGGGGCACACATTCCGCCGCACCGTACAAGCAATCCAGTGGCTCGCATGTATCTAAACAGCAATCGCCCGCTGTTAAAATTATACCAAGAACACGGCTGCTGCTGCAGGTATAACCGCTTCAGGACTAGGACGTTTTTTGACGGTGGGCGGTCCTGAAGTGGTTAAATCTGAGCTCTCGAGGGTCAATTTGTTAGTCCAAAGGGCCTTCTGTCTAAAATTCGCACAGGCCCATCTGGGTAATAAATGTACGAGGGTCAATCAAAAAGTAGAGCCTCCATGTCTTTAATTTGAGATGTGTTAGAGTGACTGTGAATGTTTATGTATCATGTGATAGAGGTGTCCTTACCCCACTAATGTATGCTTTTATTTTTCAGATTCAGTAATCAGAACCATGGATCTGCAGCTAAGACAACAAGCAGTAAACTAATTTTTTGCCAAAGAGGGTTGTGCACCTAAGGAAATCCCTAATCAGCAGAATGTTTATGAGGATGATGTAGTGGACATTAGCAATGTATGGCATTGGTTGAAAAAGTTTCAAAAAGGAGAAAATTAAATTCCACTACAGTGTCCCCATAAACATTCTTTAGCCGATTATGGATTTCCTTTAGCCGATTGTGTATTTCCTTAGGTGCACAACCTTCTTTCATCAGAAATTAAATTACAGTTTGTTGTTTGAGCCGCAGATCCATGGTCCTAATCACTCAATGTGAAAAAGAAAATTGGGGTAAGGACACCTCTATAACATGATACATGAACATTCACAGTCACTCTAATAGATCTCAAATATAGACATGGAGGCATTACTTTTTGATTGACCCTTGTAGAAGTGGTCAGTCATTTTATGTAATATCTCAAACTGGGCAAATTGCTGGGAAAATATTTCTGTATTGTTTTCCCATAGGCATATATGATTATTTTACACATTGTCACAATGCTACAAACCGTAAAACAAGAAAATGTTCTGTGGCTAGAGGAGATTTAACAGAGGGGCGCCAGACGTTATGAATGGATGGAAGTATGACCCTAATTCAATTGAATTAAATTGTTCCCTCACCCCCAACCTTGATGGTCTGAAGGGCTTTAATGTAGAATGTCTACTCAGTAAGCAGAGAGCTGCAATTTTCTACTTTGTTTTTCAAGGTGGAGATTTCATCCGAATCCTGCTATTACAACCTAGTGAATAGACCAAGCCTGTACAACAGGTGTTCAGACTTTTTTGGACTTTGTTGGTTGCTAAACGTTTTATGTAGACATCATGCTGGGCATCATTCAACCCTAAAGATTGAAGACATTCAGTTATAAAGCTACCTGGTAAATAACACTGTTTTATGTTTAAGCCACATCATTCTTTCCAAAGCTGTATTGCAAACTTGCAAAATGAAAGCACTGCATTTTTTTCACTGTGTTTTCCTAAAGCATTACGGTCTATTATACCAGGAATCTTGTTTGACCCTAATCACAGTTAGTATGCAGTACCTTGTTTGATGGCTTGGCATGCTAAATGCAATGCAACAAGGGAAGAAGAGCAGGCAGTATCCAGCGATAGAGAAGGCCCAGTTAGATTAAACTGATACGATATTCGGTTTGCTGCTATGCACATTGAGGTGCCTGTTCCATTGAAGTGATTAATTTTTTCAGGATAATTATTGTAAATAAATTCTGCGTCTTTGTTCATGAGACCTGAAAAGTAAAGGACAAATGTCCACAAAACCAATTTGAGCCAAACATTATACTTTAATTATAAAAGTAACCTCTGCTTATGCTTTTCTAAAGTATATGTTGTGTTTTTAATTGTCTGGATTTGTGATAAGTTCAATGTAAATCACAATAAAATCAGAGGTTGACCAACCATGCCATAATGTGCAAATATGAACAGCGTACTTGAACATCATGGCACATTTACCTGTGGGTGTGCTAATCTCCAGCAATATGAAGTTCCAAAGTTCTGGTCTCCACTCCATCACCACAGCTGCCATAATCTTTTTCTGGGTCCAGCATCTTCTTGCTTCACCCATTTGGTGGGCATTGGTGATGTAATTAGTTTGAATGCGCACTGCAGGTACATTACCTCAGCACCGAGCTTGATTACCAAAACCGTACTTTGTACTGCACATGTGCTACAGTCAGTGTACAGATTAATTTTTTTTTAGCAGGTATGTCTTATAAAGTCTCTACTAAATAACTATTTTGCTTATACAGGGGTGCACAATTCATATTGCCCGATGCCCGGGTCGTTTTTCTTTACATTTATATTTAGCCCTGCTGCAAACTTAATACTTCGGGCACCCTCTTGCTCTATCCTAGACTCTCTTACCCACATTTCCAATCTTTCCCTCTCTACTGGAATCTTCCCTACCCCTCTCAAACATGCACTAGTCACCCCAATACCCAAAAAACCTCCACTGGACCCTACCAACCTCAATAATTTCAGACCTATCTCCTTACTCCCATTCACCTCTAAACTACTAGAATGCCTTATCTACAAGAGTTGACACCTCGCTAATAAAAACCTTTTGGACCCCTTTCAGTCCGGCTTTCGCCCCAAACACTCCACTGAAACCGCCCTCCTAAAACTCACCAATGACCTAATAACCTCTAAAAACCATGGCCACTATTCTTTACTCTTGCTATTAGACCTCTCTGCTGCTTTTGACACTGTTGACCACCCGCTGCTCCTCAAAAAACTCCACTCACTTGGCCTTCAAGACTCTGCTCTCTCATGGTTCTCCTCCTACTTATCTATGCGCTCCTTCAGTGTCACCTACAATTCTAACTCTCCATCTATTAATGTCTTCCTTATATTGTAAAGCGCTGCGCAAACTGTTGGCGCTATATAAATACTATGTAATAATAATAATAATAATTTAGAATTTCACTTGCAAATTGCGAGCACTTGTTGGTTAGCGCAGTCACCTGACCACTTCTTCGTGGCACAGTTAAATACAGCTTTGGTCAAAAATATTTTTTGTATCACAACAAGTAGAGTGTTATGAGGGGCAAGTAGATTGGTCCCCCGCTTTAGTCTTTTAGTAGTTTTAAAAAAAATTCCACACTTCTGACTATAACTATACTTATAAAGTCTCATCTAATAAAAGACCCTACCTGCTGGCAAATTTTTGTTTTAAAGGTTTATTTCCACTTTAAGCATTTCAGTCCTGAATTTCCACTAAATAATCAGATGTCCACAGCATATTATAGGTACTAATATGTGTTACTTTTTAGGTGTCCTTTATTTTTCATACCTATAAAGACTCCAGTTTCAGTTCCTCCGATACTCTCCATAGGATACCCAGCATCTTCCAGAGCCCTGTATGTACATTGCAGTAGTAATTTGTGCTGTGGATCCATTTGATCAGACTCTGAATTATGGATTCCAAAAAGTTTGTTGTCAAACATATGAATTCTAGGATCCAAAAACAAGTGTCATGTTAGCAGTGCTTTGTGAGACATATGTGTGGTGCTGTAAATTATTCCAAGAGATCTATATTTGTTTTATATTTGGACAACACTTACCCTTCCACAATAGCTGCTCGGCTGGTGCATATTTTGCCTGGCTTGTTATAATCTGAGTCATACCAGTGCTTGGTGTCAAATCTTTCTTTAGGTATCTCAACTGTGCAGTTCTGTCCCTCAATAATAACTTTCCAAAAGTTATCAATTCCCTCCCCTGTTAAAGAAACAACGTTGTATTAAAGGGACTATTTAATGGTTCGGTACACGTTTTTCTTTCTTCATTATTGTCAGGGCTAAACAGCAAAACTATAAAAAATATTTTAGTAAAAAAAAACATGTTATTTACAGAGCTCAGTGGCTAAAGCTAACATTTTCACATACAAGTAAAAGACTCAAAGCACTAAGTGATCTCTTTTCCTCTTCTCCTCCATCTGAATATCTCCATCCCAGGTTAAGTACCTGTAAGAAGGTAAGAATGCAAATACTGCTATGCTCTCTCTTATAGATAACCTATAGTACTTCTGGAATCCCTTGATATATATATTAAACTCCCTGATATCTAGCATCCAGGGGGATTGGTAGATTCTGGATAAATGTAGTTTATGGTTGCTTGAGAGTTACTATTAAAAATAGGTCTAACTAATGTCATACCCCATACTATACCATACCACCATATCATAACATAAACTCTGTATTGACTTCATATCAATATTGAAATGCATTAATCAAAAGCAAATGAAGACAAATAGACACACAATTGTTTCCAGGATAATACATGCCACAGATCAGCAGAACAATGAGTACACAGGGGATTTATTTTTCTGGTTAGATGAGAGCTCTGGCTAGTTGAATTCCAGATAACAGAAAAGAGATATAAAGAACTTATAGACTTAAAAAATATAAATATTAATTTGGTCCAAACCATTATAGTTTTTGTAAGGTTGTAAGGGTTGGTCTGATGACCACTGCATTGGCATGGGGATGCACCCATACCATTTTTTAAAGATCGACTATGAGTACCGATACTTTTCCGCAAGTACTCGCCAACACCAATTACTGATACTTTTTAAAAGTGTCATGTGACAGTTTTTCTAAATGAATACAGACTAATGATTTTAGGACAGTGTTTAGCACCAGTGCCCTGTCTCAGCTGTGACCCTGGAAGTTCTGCCATCGACTACACACTGCAGAGGGACTACAACTCCCAGCAATGCATTATATAGCAATGCAGAATACTACCAGCTATAGAGGACTACAAATCCCAGCAATACATTATACATACAGGACCGGTGCAAGGATTTTTGCCTACACAGACAAAGGTGCATTTTTCTACCCCAGCCCCCCTCCCCGGCTGCCTTATGCTAGCGCCAGCCCGGTCCATTGGCACCCTATGCAGATTATGCCCATGTCTCATGAATAAAGCATCGTGCCATGGACAGGCCCACATCCTCATACATTTTCTATCCTCAGCTCGCCGTGCCATTCATCTTGGCATGATGAAAGTAGTTTGTTCCTGGCAAACCTGTGCCAGTCACATGTCTTCATTGAATAAGGGCCCATTCACACAACGATTTTTTGCGATCGCACCACACTTTAACGCAGGGCATTGCTGTACCATGCATTACGGTGCGGGCGATCACACTGTGGGCAGGAGGCATGTTTATGGTGCCATGTTCCCTCCCTCCCAAGAAAGCAGGGAGGCTTTGATGATGTGATCCAGTGCGTTCATGTCACGGAAGGAGAACTCACCTCCTGGGAAATTGCATCCTATTCCAACTATTGCTATCTGATCTTCTGGGTCATCCATCATCCAGTATTTCTGTGGGATAGAGAACATGCAGAAAGAAGAGACTATAGGTAGGAAATTTTTTCTCACAAAAAAGTATAACCAAGAGTATAAGAGTATAACCAAAAAAGAAAGAGCTTTACCAGCTTCTCTGGGGGGTCCCTAGGTGACATTAGGGGTCTTAGAGACCCCTGATGTCTCCATAAAGGGGACCTGTCACTGTAATTTGATATCACATAGGGGGATTCTTATCCTTCTATGTGATAACAATCAAGTTAAGTGTTAAAAAAATAAAAATTGCTCACCAAATAAATACACTCAAAAACGACTATTGCGCCAATTACGCCGCACATGTTACACATCGCCACAAACGTTGCAGTGAGAGCAATAATTTTAGGGCCATCAATCACTGATAACAGTAAACTGATGAGCGGTAAAATATTTTAAAGCGTCGCCTATGGCCAATTTTGACTATGGTTGTTTTTTCAATTTCGCGGGCACGTGCAATTTTAAGGCTTCACATGTTTGGTGTCTATTTACCCAACATGACCCCGTCTTTTATATTTTCCATAAAATTAGGTAATGTTTCATAACATAATGTAGGAAAAACTGTTTTGTGTTTAAATATTCTGTACTTTTTTTTATTATATAGTAAAATATAAAACCCCCAGTGGTGATTAAATACCACGAAAAGAAAGCTCTATCTGTCCCCAAAAAATGATATAAAATTAATTTCAGTACAGCGTTGCATGACAAAATAAACGTCAGTCAAAGTACCGCATCGCTCAATACTGAAAAATGGCCTGGCCAGGAAGGGGGTGTAAACACAGCGGTCAGCAAGTGGTTAGAAAAAAACAAACCCCAGAAAGCTGGTCATGAAACTGCATGTTTGGATTTTAGAACCTGATAGGGGATGCCCTATGGTGGCTATAGTCTCAGCATTTTTTTAGGCAATTTTAATTAGGTTTTAATAAATAAAATGTAAAATACAAAAAAAATATGACAACTGAACAACTGAACACGTCTAAACAACCCAGGGTTTTCATTGAAACTGTTGACAAGTTTCATTCAGTCATTTTTATACATTTTAGAACTTTATAAAACTAGTTGGAATTGCCTTGTGCAAAGCAGACATTTACAGTGTGCTAATCAATAATATGGGTTTTAAATTACAAAAAAAAATAATTTAAAGTCAGACACAAACATATCAAGTATGTAGGTAAGGAGAAAAGAAAGAAAAGGGAAAAAGTTTTTTTGTTTTTTTTTACCTGTGATCTGTTTCTTCAAAGCAGAAATGTAGGATATAATTGAGGAATCATTTTTTTTATAGTCGCTTCAAAAAAAAGTTAACCAGTCAGCTTTCAGTGATATTAAGTAGCTACAGATTTATAAATAGACCCCTAAATGTACCCCACTTCACTTTTTTCAATTTTGCTATGTTGCAGCCTGATACTACAGTTGTTTAAATTCTTCCTTTTTTCTCATTAATCTACACTCAGTACCCCATAATGACAAAGTGAAAACAGAATTTTAAAAATGTCTGTGAATTTATTAAAAATAAAAAACTGAAAAATCACATTGGCATAAGTATTCAGACCCTTTGCAACAAGACTTGAAATTTAGCTCAGGTGCCTCTCATTTCTCTTGATCTTTGCTGAGATGTTTCTACACATTGATTGGAGTCCATATGTGGTAAATTACATTGATTGAACATAGTTTGCAGTTCAGAAGTAAAGAACACAGAGCTCAGTAGTAAAAAACGCAGGGCTTAATAGTAAATAACACAGAGCTCAGTAGTAAAAAACGCAGGGCTTAATAGTAAATAACACAGAGCTCAGTAGTAAAGAATGCAGAGCTCAGTATTAAAGAATGCAAAGCTCAGTAGTAGTAGTAAATAAAACAGAGCTCAATAGTAAGTAAATCAGAGCTTAGTAGCAAAGAACGCAGTACTCAGTAGTAAAGAATGCAGAGCACAGTAGTAAACAATAAAGAGCTCAGTAGTAAGTAAATCAGAGTTTAGTAGCAAAGAACGCAGTACTCAGTAGTAAATAATGCAGAGCACAGTAGTAAAAAAAAATTATAAATAAAAAATAAAGTTTTTAAAATTTGTAAAAAATTGTTTTAAAAGTAAAACAAATATGTTTATTAAAAAAATTATAAGAAAATATAGTGCCAAGGAGGCTATTAACGATAGTAGAAAAACATACCACATTCTAAAATTGTTCTGCACTAAAATTGTATTTCACTCCTTGTATTTTGTGACTGTTACGTACCGTGGTGCGGGCCCGAAGTGATAAGGAGGACCTCCCTTGCGGTTTCGTCTGTGGACCCCTGAGGTGCAACAGGGGGTCACAGGCAAGAGCAGCACGGGTGCCGGTATGGAATCCTGGGTGCCAGCTGAGCGTGGTGCTACACTGGAGAATACCAAGAATGGTCAGGAGCAAGCCGGGTCAGAAGCCAGAGAGGTAATAATAGTAGCCAAGCAGAATCCAGAGAGTGGTCAGAGACAAGCCAGGGTCAGAAGACAGATAGGGAATGTAATATCCAAATCAGAATCCAGAGAATGGTCAAGGACAAGCCAGGGTCAGAAGCCAGAGAGATGATCTAAGAACATAAACAGGATCCAGAGAATGGTCAGGTACAAGCCAGGGTCAACACAGTAAGGTAAAGTAATAGCAGGAACAGAGCAATACTGACAGGACACAGGCTGAAGAGCACTCAGCAATGACTGAGAGTGCTGAGTCTCCTTCTATAGCCCTAGTGACATCACTGGGCGGCGTCAGGACGCACAGGGGCGTGTCCCCCCGGCCCGTCGCGTCACAGGTGGGCGTGCCTCGCCGGGCCGCCTCGTCACTGGTGGGCGTGCCCCGCCGGGCCGCCTCGTCACTGGTGGGCGTGCCCCGCCGGGCCGCCTCGTCACTGGTGGGCGTGCCCCGCCGGGCCGCCTCGTCACTGGTGGGCGTGCCCCGCCGGGCTGCCTCGTCAGTATTAGCAGGAAGAAGTAAACATGTGTAGAGGAATATGTACGCTGCCATTGTTGAACTCCTTCTGAAAATACTTAATAGTTTATTAAGGGATACAGGGACAGCAGAATTCTGAGACAGTGGGGGTGATTTACTAACCTAAACACATGCACGCACCAGGTGCGTGTGATTTTCACACAGCAAAACGTATTTATCAACCAAAAAGTCTCTAAAAGCATATTTCCACTAATGCCATATATGGAAAAATCATGCACATGATGCATATATAATGCTGCTTCACAGTTTAGACAAAAATGGTTAGCTCATGCATTTACATTCCTGCATTCATCAACGCAAGCAACACAACATAGAGCTAATTTACACAACATCACCTTGTAATTCATGCAGGGCTTTGCACAACACACCTGCTGGGTGTGTACACACTACAAAGGTGTTTAGATTCCACCCATAGATCATGCTGGGAGGGAACACACTACAGAGGTGTAGTGGTGTGTTTATAAGGTTAGTAAATCAACCCCAGTGGGTTATGCTGCAACCTTTAGGAGCATTGGACACTGGCAACAAGAACAATTGTTGATCAGGCAGTGCAGACAAATTCTTGGACACTGGGAATCTTTGGCTTAAGTGTTGGTCTGCTCAACAGCAGTTCAAAAACCACTTACTGCGTATACCCTTTGGGGGAGAACTCCTCTTTGGCAGTTCCCTGGACAAGTTTACCAACCACTTTGGCACTGGAACATTTTTTCATTAAAATCTGAATTGTTAGATAAAAAATTACTTTAAACCCCCAAATAATTATATATTTTCGGAAATCAGAGCTCCTGTACAATAAAAGCTGGTAGCTGCAATTTTTTTATGTTGCATGATAGTTGCACAAATATTTCTTAAATCCATATTTTTAGGAAAGAAATACACTAAAATGAATTCTAGTGTACATAAACACAATGTAATACTCGATTTTTGGGTAAAATCTACAGGATAGGGTCACATAGAGTAAATAGATACACGCACATACACGCTATGGGTTGGACTTGATGGACCCGTGTCTTTTTTCAACCTCATATACTATGTAACTATGTAAACAGCCTCAAAACTGTGCACGCCTGTGCAATGGTGAAGACTTATGGTATCCAAAATTGTCATAGGCGTTGCTTTTGAAAAGCCTTTACCACTCATCAATATAGAGTTAACAGCAAATTATGGCCCTAGAATTATTGGTCACACACCGTCATTCGTGGCAATACCCAATAAGTGTGGCACAATCGCTGGTTACACACATATGCATGCATTATGTGCTTGTTTGCATTTGTGGAACAGTCTGCTTTTAATTAAATGTTTTAATTTTAATAATCTTTATCTTTAAAAGTTTTTTAAACTTCCAGCTTTATTGCTAGCATAAGGGGCTAACTACTATGTGATAGCATTGGCAGGTGACAGGTTCTCTTTATGGAGACATTAGGTTTATTAGACCCCTAATGTCTCCACTGCCCTCCACTGCAGCTGCTCAAACACAGGATTGTGCTTGATCATCTGTTTAGCCGGCATTTCAGTCAGACTTTAGACAGGTCTGAAGCAGGAAGTGCTGAGAGCACAGTGATCACAGAGCAGATCAGGGAACAGACACCTTTTGCCGTGGTCTCAGGCCTCCAATGGGCAGCATGGAAACCATTGCAGGGGGTGCAGTGGTGACAGCACATTTAGAGGCCAATATAAGTGATTAGGCATCTCTACAGCCGCCCAGATCACTTGTACTCAAAAGCCCTCTGCCTGCTCTAAAAATTATACCAAGAACAGGGCTGTACATCTGTGATCTTGGTATAACCCCTTAAACACTAGGACGTAGAGGTATGTCCTATGATTAAGTGGTTAATCTAGAAAACCTCCTTCCTCTGGAACTAAACTAAAGAGTTTGTATACCTCTAAGCCCAAGGCCAAGCTTGGGACTCAATTCCCCCATAAACTAAACTTGTGGAAAAATCATCCTCAAAATAAAGTGTGTGTGGGGGGACTTCTGTTAACCTTTGCAACCACCTGGAC